AGGCGATTAATTGATTTGAATAGATGTATCCAGAATGATTATTGAATATGTGTTCGGGATTATAGTAGTATCAGACAACATTTCTATAATAGATTCACTCATTTCGAATATATAGATTATCCATTAGAATTAAAGGAAGTTGTATATAAAGAATTGTAGATCTATTATTAAGTTGTAGTAAACCTTGGTATATATATATATTTTGGGATATTAACAACAGTATCATAACAACTACTGATCAGAATCGTTTGGGAACAATTGCAATAGATTTATTTTAATCTTTTTGGTCTAGATCGACCTTTAAAGAGGTGTATTTCGAAGAAAAAGTTTCCTGATTTTTGTTGTGATGATTGTTTCGGGGAGACTGGTGGAGATATTCATATTCGCGTGTTGGTAGTCGATATATGGTTACCGAATATTCTTGTGATAATGTTGGAGGATGGAAGGAAATGTAAATCGTCTCAATGGGATTGTTCTTCGATTTTGTCCGAAGATGAGATCGATGTGAGGATATGGGATTGCTTTATACTTCTAGTCTACTCCTAATACGATCAAAACTGCACGATATCGGAACGCAGATCGGCAACCCAATGAGGACTTGGGCCGGACTAGGAGGGCCTAGCGTGAACAGGTAGCTCTTAGTCTCTACCAAGGCTGGAAACATTGTACCAAGCCTAAGGGAATTATAGGCACATGCTATATGTAAACTCGTATACTACATATACTATTTGTCTGTCTGTACTCGAGTAGCCTCAAATTTTTTTTTTCATACCGTAGAGTACCGTCTAAACTCGACGTCATTTTTGCTGAGTCATGATATAGATTACATAAGGTTTCGCTTAACCAAGCTGAATCATGTATGTATTAACGCCCCCCCTTGCCACTCACTCACCAACACTTGAAACTCTAATGCCCACAGACCGGCGATCTCCCAAAGAAACTCAAACAAGGTAGGTAAATTCAATTATGGATATATCTTATCTTATCTCATCCATCTACCCGAAAACCTTAGCCAGAACGTCAAGTCATAAAACTTAGACTACTAGTAAATCGCAAGAGACTTTAAGCTTTCCGGTAAAGATCTCGTTCATGTTATTGCTCTATGTACAGCATCAAAGAAATAAGTATAGGTCTCTTCAATTCTACGCCTGGTACACGGAAGGCACACATATTAATTCGACAGATTAATCAGGAATTACGAAAAATTACTAATATGTTCGGTTCGTCTTCATCTATGTAGATATCACGAGCTATGAAAGTTTAAACACTACGGAATCTTATCAACGATAGCTCAGGCAATTCCGGAGAAGGTAGCGGATTTTTGAACTTTCCTGTGTGACTCTTATATTTGCACATAATCATGAACTTATTGCAGATCCAGGAGACGTTAGCTCTAAGTAGGTCAAGGAAAAATCAGGATGTTTACCTTCTACCTAGCTATATTTGGAGAGCCGGTCGGTGTCCTTAGCGATACCGAGAACAGATAAATGTATTTCTGGGATGACCATGACACGATGACATGTCGATCCATCTAGCCAATCTATTTAGCGTTAGGAATCCATATGACCGTTGCGATTAGTGGGTCTAGATAGCCTCATTCATTTGGACCTTGAATAAGAAGATGGTCCTCTCTGTACCCACACCCACAACCTGAACTATAATACCATCCGTTCATCCATCCATCCGAGTATCAGCTAACCATATTACCATCCATTCATCCATTGCCAATCCCAATACCAGCTAAACATATCTATATCTATATCTCCATTTCCTTTCACCGGTACTGTATACTCTATTCCATAAATGATGATAATAGTGATGCAATGCCCGTCATTCAAATGACATAAACTGACGCCATGCAGGTAATAGACCCGAATAGCTCTACTGCCACTTTAAGCACATAGATGCCACATTTACTACTCGAGTAGTATAATACAGTAGTGTAGTTTTTAAATTGATGATACAAGGTTTTCCACGACCATCAAATTCAAGTTTTGTTTGCCTCGATTCATAATGATACTAGTACTTGACACTAGTAACTAGTATTAAGAGTTAAGACCACCATACAACCATTTTAACACACTGAATTTAAGTAAAAGTTCAAGTTCATATGCGCATTATATCCCCGTATCCCCGTATCCCAGTATTCCCATCCCCATCCCCATCAAAATCAAAATCAAAACCACCCAAACCACAAACTGAACATGCACTCTTACCACTCATACCACTCATACCACACACACACCAATACATACATCCCGTCCTAGCATAATCAATCAACCAATGAATGCAATTGACCCACCCAAACACCATTCCAGGCCAAGCCAGTCCAATCCCAACATCCATCAAAAAAGCCAAATGACAGTTTCCATATCCAAATCCACATCCAAATCCAAATCCATATCCAAATTTCCAACCGGTTTTCCAAACCAGATCTTCCAGTAGCGCAAGCACTACCTCACACTACCTCGCACCGACACCAATCAGACCAAACCAAATTTAACCCAACTAATCTAAACCAAGTCTAAGGGGTACGTACTAACACCCACATAGCGCTAAGCCCTAAGCGCGTACCAGCCAGAGCTTCAAGTTGTGGCGTAACTTTCTCTCTCTCTCTCGAGCAACTAGACTATCGATCGAGAACCAAGAACCAAGTTTATCAAGAGAACTAACTTATCAAGAGAACTAGAGTAACTATTCTGCCCCCAAATTGGGGGATCAACGTCGTTCGCGTGTAGGTTTACTTAAAGTGCTTTGATTCCTGTTTTTTGTGTTGATGTATGGAATGGAATGGAATGGAATGAAACGATATATACTTCTTGCTTCGCACAAATACTTATATAAACTGAATATTGTGTACTTTGTGCGAAAATCGTATCAAAATTAGCTTATACTTACGATTCATTTTTCTGATATATATCGTATATCTTTCTAGGTATCATTCTAGATATCACTCCAGATATATAACTTTCAATCATTAATTCCTCGTCCATCAATCCTCAATCCTCAAGACGCAACCAAACAACAACAAGACTCATCATCACACCCCCAAAATGATGTTTTTCATCCCAACGCTCACTTCCTCCTCCTCTTCCTCCCCCTCTTCCTCTCCTACTTCCTCTCCCTCTCCCACTCCCTCAGGCTCTCCCACTTCCTCTCCCTCCCCTGACGGAAACACCAGCTTAGCCGCGCTCACCATTGGAATCAGCATGATAATCTTCGCATGCATCCTCATATACATTCTCTTCCTAAACATTAGAAGATGTAGACATAGGCGCGGACGCGTCATGCTCGAGGAGGATATTGAGGCTGAAGGTGTAAACCGAAGACACGTCGGAAGATTCCGGCGATATATGAATTCATTCATGGCAGCGGGAGCAGCGGAGGGAGCGCAGGATCAATCTCCGGACGGAAGTGGCAGTGGCAGTGGCAGCGAAGAAGAAGGACAACAATCCGCAGAGACGGAAACTGAGGGTGCGAATGGAGATGGAGGAGAACAAGAACAAGAACAGGGACAGGAATGGGAAAGCAACGACGGTAGCGACGATGGCGGGGCTAGCGATGGCACCGACCTCAGATACGGTAACGGCCGGCGATATGATCATGGACACTACCATGATAGTCTCTGGGTACTGGTCAATGTGAATATACATTCACCTACCGACTGGAGACAAAGAATTGCGGTGTTGGATGAGGTAGAGAGGGCTAGGATGCGGGAGCGAGAGCTGTCGGGGGAAGCTCATTCTCCTGGAGATTTCTGGCTTTAGTGGAGGTGGGGTGGGTGAAGTGGAGCTGGGATATTGGTGTTGGTATTGGATTTTAGGAGGAGGGAATCATGGTGATGAGGTGATGCTTTGGATGGATACCTCGACTTGGGAAAATTGGGATATAATCATTGTGAATGGGGGTAGGATTCTTGGGTTGGTATATTGGTGTTGGTACATGGGTTTCGGTATATTGGTATCGGTATATTGGTATCGGTATATTGGTATCGGTATATTGGTGTCGGTACGTCCATATTGGAGATTGGGAGGAGATACAATATATATAAGGTGATGATTTGGATTCCTCGAAATTGGAAATTGGGCATATAATCAATATAAATGCGATGATCTTTCCGCACACACTATGATTATCGTTTCATCTCGTAGCATGTATCCCTTCGTGATCATCGCATCATGTCGAGTCCTCTCCGTGAATCTCCCCAGGCACCCTAATATCCCAAGCCGCCTCTCTAATCATCGCGCCCATGCTTCCGCCATTTCGGTCCTCCTTATACGAACTCAATCTCTCCTTCCTCTTTTCGCTCCACCCCCATCTCCTCGCCCCCTTCTCCAAACAAACCAATCCTAACCTCCTTCCCGCTCCTTCCCCTGCACCTTCCTTTTTGAGGTTCTTTAATAAGCCCTCCAATTCCTCAACTTGCGTTTCTTTTCCCTTATTCTCAGCCCAATGTCCCAATTGTCCTGATGCCAGAACCAACGCATCACCAACCAATTCCTCTTTCTCCACCATCTCCAGAAGATGCATTTTCAATTCCGGAAACGAGATCGCGAAACCGGTGAATATGAGTCGAATTTTCATTTTTACCGTTATATCACATTGTTGTAAGTGTCCTAGCACGACAGAAGTAGTAGAAAGAAGCGTTCTCGTATCCACACTTTGCAAACCGATATGTAGCATATACTCATCAAACAGTATCTTCAACGAGTTCCGTATCCATGGTATCATATGCATGGCAGTAGTAAGAGGCTTGAAAATATCCGAAATGATCTTTGATGATGATTTTCTGGCAAATATTTTATATATAAGTCTCGCGGTAGCTTTCTGTTCATCGACATTCCTCGACTGTATCAACTCTAAAAGTCGACTTTGGAGGGAATGAAACCCTAGCTCGGAAATTTCGAATGGAAGGCGTGGCTTCATACTCAGTGTTTTGAGAGTTTGGATGTGGAGCTCTATGGATGGTGAGGAAAGGAGCGTTAGGCACATTTCGAGGATGTTTTGAATGTTGGAAGGATTTGAGATGATAGCGGGAATTGAAAAGAAAGAGGCGAGGATTGCGAGGAGGGATTGTTGTGTCTCGGTATTATTGCTGCTGTTTTTGGAAGCGGCAATTTTGTAGACGTCCCAGGTTTGATGTTTCGAAAGATAGGTTTCGTGAGCAAGGGCTTGGAGAATTGCACCATATGAGTCCGGATGTAGGTTTTCGGCGGTCGAGATTGAGAGGAGAAATTGATAGGCCTTTTCCGTTTCAAGTGTTCCAATCAGTCGAAATATTTCCTTTGCAATTGTAACGCGTTGGCGAAGAATGCCAGTGAGTAGATTGAATGCTTGAGTGGTACTCATAGATTGAATGATGTACTGCAACGAATAAGCCGCCACTTTGGCCTTTTTGCTCATTTCTTCTACTTGTTCATTGTCAATAACATCACCAACCAAACTTTGATCCGCGTCAGAAGACTTTAGCAGTAATAAAATAGACTTGTGCCCTGCATCTGTCTCAAATTTTGCCAAAGCTTTTGTAGCATTCTCATACATCACGGGATTAGATGAGGTAGTTAGATGCATAAGTATTCTTGGATCGGTATAATTTAGGAGACCAAGAGTCCTGATGTATAATGAGTTCTGGTGTATTGAGTCTTCGGTCTCCATGCGGCTTTCGAGTATAGAAGCAAATTCTTCTTGCTGTTTTTGTGTCCATGTTCGATAGGTCCATGGCCAATCCCCAAAACAAAGACGAGGCCAAAGAAGTTCACGTTGTGACCCAGAATTATGATATGTGAATAATCTTGGGACTAGGTCTTGTCGGTGTATAAGAATATGACGGACTATAAGCTGGGCGTCGATAAATCGCATGGACTTTGGTTCTAAAAGTTGCGGGGCAATACGAAAGAAGGTTGCACGATGATGTCGTTGGAGAAATTGAAGAACTTTGCTACCATTGTCATGATCCTTGGATTCTTCAGGATCTATAGCACGCTCAAAGATGTCAAGTATTTCCGTCCAAAATCCGAGATGATCTGAGAAAAGATCAGCTAAGATTAGGAGTGTACTCAAATCATTTTTTTTGGAGAGATCCTGGAGGGTTGGCGATAAGGCAGTTTGAATAATGCGCATGATCATGCTTGGAGCAAACTTTCCTGATGCGTGAGAGAACATGTCGTAATGTTGCAACTTTCCCCCCTTGACAAAGAGTACTATTTGAGAAGCGGTCCATTCAGGAAACCAAGTCAAAAGACGGGATAGTATTTCGTGTATGTAATCTATACTGAAGTGAGATAGATCACTCGCTTCCAATGCGTGTCTAAAAATTTGCGCCAGCAGAGGGAGGTGTTCCTCGTTCCATCGCCCACCGGGTATTTTCGAGAGAGCCATGAGCATTGAACGTCGAATTGGATCTTGATCGTTCTTGTATCGTATAACAAGATCCAATGCATCCGAAATGTAATCTTCATTGTACATCGCTCCCTCAAGTTGAGATGATAATGCAGAAGAACGAATATCGGCATCTCTGGAATGTAGGAATGGCTTTTGAAATTCAAGTCCCTCTTTCCAGGGTAGTAAACCAATGTAGGGAATACGATCAGAAGGTTTTGTTTGGTAAGTAGAAAGGGCAATATGCCGATGTGCCTCTTCGATTCGATAAGGATTTGGTAGATGCGAAACAACAGTGATGTCAAGAACACCGGCTTCAGAACGCCATATATTACGTATGACGGGGTATAAGACCGAACGCTGTTCATGAGTAAGAGTCTTGAAATCCCAGCTAGTGATTATTCTGTGTTCAAACAAAACGAGGATATGCTCAGGAGATAGACATTTGAGGATGCCATTATCAAAATACAAACTCTCCAAAGCAGTATCATCATTCTCAAGTATTAATTTCATGCAAGCATGGGGCCTGGTCGACAACAACTTTTGTAGCGGTAGCCGAGATATCGGGAACTTCTCTACCATTAACTCAGCAAGTTTTAAGGCTGAATCAGGTCTTCTTTTTGTCCATTTAGAGATAATCGAATTTGCGATGCCCAGTAAAATTGGACTATCCAGTTCTGATGACTCGATCCAATGTTCCAAATGAGCTTGTACAGTCACAGGATAATGAGTCGCCAACTTGAGCCAATATTTTTCCGAAAGCTTTGCTACCAGGCGCGGCAGATTCTCAGAGACATACTGTAAAGATGAGAGAGGTAATAATTGACGGAATAGGGCCGATTCTTCTTTGTCGTTGATATTATCCAAATATTGATCAATCACTCTCTCTTTCGTTTTGAGCCGTCTCCAGCGTTTCGCATTTTTCAACCGACCCAATGATTTGATCTGCAACTTCAATGGAATGAATTCCAATGCCTGAAGAATTTGTTCATCGGTCCCCAAAAGCTCGATCAAATGCATAGCTCGAGTTTGGAGCCATTTGGATGGTGAGGCATGGGAGATATACTGAATTGCAAGATCGACATCCTGGCTTCCATAACAAGAATCTAGAACGAGCTTTTGTTCATATACAGAACCATCGAGCAACTTGTAAATCGTGGATCGGACGGAAGGATTTGTGGTGGATTGTCGGCCGAGTTTGAGCATTTGTTTCGTACGTTCATTGTATGTGAGACTTTCACATTGCTCAAGAACTATTGAGACACTGGTTTCCTCCATGATGCCGACGATAATCTTCAAACAGGAATATTCAAAATGCGTGGATATCCTCTCATTCGGTGTACGTGTACAGTGGGACGATCACCCTGAATATTGGATATTAGGCAAGGTACGCACCAGAAACCGAGGTCAACGAAGAGACAATACAATCAAATCAATGACAATGTATACCCGTAATCAAGATATTACTACCAGTACTCGAATCTCATGATGGTAATACAAGAAATCCCCAAGCACCTTCTATATATATACTTCGATATAACGACATCGACAATCAATACACGAAATAATCATATACATCACGTGATTTAATCGACCTACGTAAAATGAGTCAGGTCGTATTGGCAGTGCCCTAAATGTACAGGGATGTACTCGTATCAGACAATGAATGCTACAGACTACCTAAAATATACAGCATTAATCTATCCCCAGATGAAGAAATTGAGTGAAGCAATCTCAGTGAAGATAGAGAGAATGAGAAAAGAGAATATAAAGTATAGGTGTTTGAAGAAATAAAGTTATTATTATCTACAACAGTATTTTGCTACAATTGCTTCAGCGATTAGAGCCATCCAAATCCAAGGCTCTATCTGTAGTTATTAACCCCGTCAATTATATATATAGTATTTCGTTATCCATTAGATATACATTAAACTCAAACGCCAGGATGAATAAATGACAATGACATCCTAATATTTTCCCATGGTATCCTTAATACAAGAAAAGCGAGGTTATTTATTATTCCTTCTTTCCTTTCCAGAAGAATTTCGCAAAGCTTTTCTTAGATCTCAGTTGTGATCTAGGAATAGGATCTTCACGTGTACTGCCGATTTCAACCACACCGGGGATGGCTGATGGCGCCATTGGACCTAATGGCGGTAACGGTTTTGCTCTAAGCTTCGAATCTGCGAGAGAGATTCTGGTCATTCGACTGTTAGATCGTGTTGTTCCTGAGTTATTTATAATATTCCTTCTCACTGCATCAGGATGGCGAGTTTGGAATTTTGATGACAGAACGTTCGTACTCTCTGGAATTGGAGGAGGTCGCCGCGAAGGAATGAAACCATTGGGTCCAAATTCATTCGGTGTGATTTCGCTTTGTTGTAGAGGGACTGGGAATTGCGATGGGAGCGAGGATTTACGGCGAGGTAATGGGGTGGGTGGGTCGTTTATAATAGGTGCCAAGTACTCAGCCTCTACTTGATCCATCATTGTGTTGAAAGCGGAGAGAGGTGTTGTGGTGATGTATCCGGTAACGCGTTTATTGGGATTTTGAGAGGTCCTCTGCGATGGTGCAGTCTTTGGCCTATGCTGTTCCATGCAGTAATTAACTTTTCGTCGGAGGTCAAAATTTTGCTTTTCCAATATCTTAGCAGTATTTTCTGCAGCAAGGACACGCTCAAGAAGTCGCTTATTCTCGGCCTCAAAGTCATTGATAGCTTCGATAGCAGTGGTTGCATGTAACTGGAAATATAGATGAGCATTGTATATACATTAAATGCACCATAGAATTGTAGACAATGAGAACTTACAGAAAGTTTAGGACTGAGTGGAGAATTGGAACTTACAGAAAGTGTAGGACTGATTGGAGAATTGGGATCCACATTACAATTCGGGGGTTTAACAGCCCCAGGAGAGGTATCTTCCAATTCAGCAATGAATGATGATATAGCCGAATTTGAGGACGACCCATTCTTCATCGCCGAAGATAATTCGAAAACCGAATCGACCGCAGACAAAGGTGTTACTCTGTCGGGCGAAATATGGTTTAGTTGTCGTCGGCCTGATGTATAGTTCCATGCATGTTGTGGGGTGACTAGTAAACTCAATGTTGGAGTGCCATTTGTATTTTGACGACGAGGGGAAATAAATGGACGAAGGTTGTCTTGAGAAACTGATGTCTTCATCATTGTTCGTTTGAGATTGTAGCTCTGTTGGGGCTTTTCCATTGTCTGCATTTCAGATACAACATGAGGCATGATTGTATGATTGTAGGTCTTACTCAAGTAAGTTCAACAGCAAAGCAAGAGAAATTCTGGCCTAGATAATTCATGGACCTCAGTGCCAAAGGTCGAGAATGAGGTTAACACGGGAATTTCTTGTACAAATAAATTATCCGAAATTCCCGAGATGATGTACGGCGGGGTAATTGTTAGAGATCCTGTTGTGATGCGACGTGAAATCTGAACGGTCGTATATCTCCAGAGTGAAAGCCGCCTTCGAAGAATTGAACTGCAATCGAGGTAGGCTTAGACCCAAGGGATGAGGCTGGGACATAATCAAATAGATATATAAGAATAACGAAGGAGTGGACCCCATATCACATTATTATTTTCGACTCGAGCTGGAAGCCGTGATCAGTTAATCCAAGCGTGCGAGTATGCGGCAACGCTGCTGCGGCCCCCATGTGTCTCAATAGTAAGAATCATTATCAACCACTCGATTGAATACAGTAATCTGAAACGGATGAGAAAGTTTCCCTTTTGATTATACAGACGAGCCATAAAACGCATAAAACCTCTCGTAAGCGCCTGGGGGCGGTCGCTTATTTGGTCATCACTACATCCAACCAAACGCGAGAGCCACCATTTACGGCGCAGAGAAAAGATTTAGAAGCAGAGCAGGAAAGAGTAACATTAGAGGAAAGTAAAAAGATACGATTGGAAGAAGAAGTAATAGTTGATGAGATCAGGTAAGAGACCTGAGATAGGGAGATATGAAACCTTACATTTGCCTTCGCATTCGAGATGAAGTTTCAAGTACTGCTGCAATGTACCCCAAAGTGCATTATCCGTATGAACGTGAAGAATGAACGAATGTATCTTGAGTTGAAAATAGATCAGGATGATTAAGAAGCCTTGGAGTCGAATAATGGTGTCCACATGATCCTACTTGATGCATACCGGTACTGCACTGTGTTCTGTTTAAATAATAGGATTTCCAAGAATTATATATCATTGATATTAGGAAATGAAGGGAAGCAAACAAATACAATACAACACAAACATCATATCGTATCGTATCGTATCGTATCGTCTCACAGCATAATGTGTGAGTGGTGTGAGTGATGTGAGTGATGTTAGTGATGTGAGTGATGTGAGTGTACTGGTAGATCATGGCATGAATATTAAGGGAACGAAGATGTGGGAGGGATATCGATAACGGGAGGAGAGTTTCCTCAGATCCAGTTCTAGTCTAGTCTAAATTAGGTATAAAGCTAAAAGATCGAAGTGCAGCCAAAAGAAACGAAATTACGGTAACCGAGAACCGAGAACCTGGAGTTGGGTACATTTTGATTCATCTCCATTATCCATCAAATCGTCTTACTTCTTCTTGTACCACTCACTCAATTACTCAGATCATTAGGCAATATGGATCTTCCCGAGACTTCGAATCGTCAGAAGGATTCTTCTTCACGGAGATATTCTAGGTCACCTTCAACAACTGATTCTGAAGAAGAGAGAAGGCGGAGGAGGCGCAGAAGAGAACGAGAGGCTGACCGTGGTTCAACCCGTTCCAACCGGCGTGACGATCGTCCCAGAGGCACAAGAAATGAATACGAAGATAAAGAAAGACATCGCAGACGGTCGCGTAGTCCAGTTGATTCAGGTTCTCATCGACGGAAAGATGATCGAGATTCACATCGCAGCAGAAGAGATAGATCTCGAGATCAAAGACGGATTAAAGATGGTAATAGCACGGCAGAACTGGCTACAAAACCAGCTGTAAGTCGAAGACACAACGGTCCGCTAGCATCTCAAGCTGCATCGTTTCAATCAAATAAAGATCCATCATCAACAAATCTCGTACCCATCGGAGATGAACCAGTTTTAGAGAAAGAGAAACCGAATTTAGGACAAACAGGGGTTCTAGCAGCAGCTTCAAATACGATTACGCAGGCAGATGGAAACGCTATAGTGTTAAAGTATCACGAACCACCAGAAGCATGCAAGCCACCCGCAAGAGACGACTGGAAGCTTTTTGTTTTTAAAGGCGCCGACATAATTGAAACAATTGATCTGAGTACAAGAAGTTGCTGGCTTATCGGTCGCGAGCTTGCGGTTGTCGACCTAGCTGCGGAACATCCAAGTGTTAGCAAACAGCATGCCGCAATACAATTTAAATCCACCGAAAAGACGAACGAATTCGGAGACAAGGTTCGGAAAGTAAAGCCATACTTGATTGATCTTGATTCTGCAAATGGCACAACGATGAATAAAGACCCGGTGGACAAAAGTCGATATGTTGAGTTGATGGATAAGGACATGATCCAATTCGGTCACAGCACCAGAGAGTATGTGCTAATGTTGGCACCGAGATCTTAGTCAAGGAAGATAGCAAAAAGTTTATTTGTGTGTGGTAGCATACTTTCGGAAACTCGATCGAGTCTTTACTATATGACATATGAATTTTACAAAGTCAGAGAAGCAAAAGTCAGCTGCAATTCGTCACAAGATTTTCGATCAAAGTGGAGTATGAAGATCGCGGGGGAAAGTAAAATGCTCGTGTTAAGGACTCACATTTATTAAAGCATTAAGTCTAATGACTTACTTATTCGCCGACAGTACGACCTCTCAAACCCAACGCCCTGGTATTCTGGCCGATAATATCAAATAGAGTTTTGAAGCTTCGATTCCAGAGAAACCCAAAAGTGCCGGTGCTAATATCTGCCGATAGTTTGAGCCTCATCAACTTTTCAATGCATAGGGCGGACTTGGATGGCAGAAATCCTATGACTCGACCAGTCACACACACCTCCCAATAGAAACTCTATCCGCCCCCTTCATGACGCAAGCAAACTTCCGTGATTCGGCTCCTTCCAATAATTAGCCCTAATCCTGGGGAGAGGCTCTAGAGAAATACTATACCAACATACGCATACGCCTCGATGGGTTTGAGGCTCAGAAACATGTTGGTGGGATGGATCTCATACATTTTCACGATATTTTATAAAAATTTCAGAAGGCACCAAACCTCCCTCACTCAGCTTACTGTACTTACTCAGTCCAACAATATAATTTTGCATTAGATACCCTAGCAACCTTCCAATGATAGTTTTGAGTCTTCAATATTATGCCCAACCAGTCCCTAGCATAGGTAATCGCTAATAATCCAGTAATCCAGTAATCAAAATATATCCAACATTGACATCGCTTTTTATTCATCTTTACAGCGCTACAACCGCGGATATGTAACTCGGATAATTCATATGACAAGTTCAAAACCTCAAAGATCTAACTGTTGTTCTTGTGTCTAAATTTACCCATAAAACTGGAGGTGGAGGGTACGATGGTTTGAATCTCGAATGTTTGAATTCATATAAGCTTTTCTTTCCCCTGACGACTTTCTTTACCTGGATTGGATTGAGAACTACCACCTAGTAACCTAGTACCTAAGTACCTAAGTCTAAGTACCTACCCGTAATGAACCTTACAAGCGTCAATAATCCTTCCCGCCATTTTCGCCATTTTCAGAGTTAAAAGTTGTAAGACGCTTAGATTATACATGACATTGGGGATATTGGGGATAATAGAAGCTTTTCATTGGGGAGAAGGGAGAAAGGGAGGGCGTTTAGGTGTAAATGGGTAGAAGTACCGGTGAGGTTTAGTGCTATCTATACTGTATGCGGAGTCAAAGGTTTGTTCCTTGAAAAATGAAATGCTAAGCCTTCTTGATAATACACCTAGCCCTATTGACTTATTATTGACTTATTGACTTATTGACTTATTGACTATTTTAAAGCTTACGAAATATACCCATCCCATCCCATCCTTTCATATCCCTAACCCATAACCCACCTAATTGCCTACCTACCTACCTACCTGGTCCTTACTTATATCAACCATGTCGCCAGCTGACCCTCAGTTTTTCGTCAAAATGTTTTCACATCCATCCATCCCACCAGTTCCAACCCATCCATCCCCTCATTCAAATTATATCTATTACGACATCGTATCCTCATTAATATCTCTTATGTCTTAAACTCAATAAACTGTTCTTGTGGCGTCTTATATAACTTTACCTCCCTCTCACCACCCCCGTGTGACTAACCCCCCTTGGCGCGTGCCACAATCTTCACGAGTACATTAATATATACACACATACAATATACACCGAGAACGAACTTATTATATGCCCTAAATACGAAAATACGTCAATTAAGTCAGGCAGACCGTTTCCAATTGCTTTGCGCCCGGAGGCTTATTCTTCGCAAAAAGTTCATGACACTTGCCTGCTTGTTGTTGTGTTTCCATCCTTCATTCGTCTATATAAGTCTTTCTCTCTTTCATGCTTATATACGCAACGACTGAACTCGAGCTTCATCGCGGATCGAAGAAGTTTTCGATATGGTAAGTGGACAGCCAGCCAGTTCTTTTTCCACCTTTTCCCCAGATTTCAAACATCTTTCCCGTCTGCAAGGTACCAACCAGCAGAGATCCCGAGAAAACATATCGGCTAATTCATACTTTTGCAGGATGGATCCGCTATAAACCCCAATGAAATCAATCGTTACGAAGTCACAGAAGTTTATGCCCATCCCGAAGCAGAAGCAGATATTGTACTGGTTCATGGTCTGAATGGAGACCCTCAGCATACGTGGACGGCTAAGAATGGTGTGTTTTGGCCCACTGCTCTTCTGCCAGTCACCTTCAGTTCGAAAGATCCAACCAAATCTGCGAAAGTTCGAATCCTCGTGTATGGATATAATGCGGATGTTGTGGCCTTTGGAGAGAAATCGGCTTCACATGATAGAATACATGAACATGCACAAAGTTTGGTATCGAGTTTGGCGCTAGAGAGAGCGAGTGAAGAGGCCGAGGAAAACCCCATCATTTGGGTCGCACATAGTTTGGGCGGTATCTTGGTAAAACGAGTAAGTGGCCACGACTAGTTGAACCCCACAATCCACAATATGGTATGCCAATAATGCTAACGAAATTCTCATAGGCACTAGAAATATCTCACGATTATCAAGGGAAGAGCAATGATGAGATTCGTTCCATCGCCGTCTCGACTTTCGGTATCATATTTCTTGGTACTCCTCATACTGGTGCTGATCCGGCGAAATGGGGTTTGATCTTTCAAGGAATGGTATCTGCTTTGATGCCAAAGAAAGCTTTAGACTCGGAATCAATTCTCATCAAGACTTTGACGACAAATAACGAGACACTTGCCAACATCAACCTTCATTTTCTCGACATATACCAGCGATTCAAGATTTGCATGGCTCATGAGAGTTTGAAGACCGATTTCAAAGGAACAAAAGCTTTCGTTGTTGATCAAACTTCCGCCAGCCCTCTACTTCCCGATGTCTCTTACTTTGGTATCGAGGCCACACACAGCGGTATCTGTAAATATGAGAGCAAACGAGCACCAGGCTACATAAACGTCTCCACCAAGCTTAAGATATGGGCCTTGGAAGCTTCCCCAATCATCCGCGCTCGCTGGAGAGAGGAAAAGAAGAACCGAATCGAGGAGAGAGAAGCGCAAATCAGAGAGCTTAGAGGACAATTCGAAGATGTACGCTCGCTTTGACCTTCGCACCGGGCACTTACTAACGCATTTGTAGCCCACATTGGCGCCAGGATCTCCACAACAACAACCACAGGGTATGTACCAAGGTGACTCTTCTTTAGCTCATCATGAGCATGGTTTGATTGAGCCTTCTCGGCCAAGACCTATTTTTGATTATGAGGTGTCGGAAGTTGAGGAGAGAGACATTGAGATGGCGGATCGTTAAGATTTATCTTCAAAAATTTCTTTGTCGTCTGGACCTCGGGGCGCGGAGATAAAAAAAAAGTTTCTTTGGTCATTTGGAGATGGACTTTTATTATATCATTTGCTGGAGGTAGCTGATTTGTTTGGTTCCGTAGATTTATCGAATTCAGTTCAAACCGTTGCAAGCATTGAGCCCGATAATACAGACGATAGTGTAGAGTATTTCATCAAGCCACCTGGATTCCGTCCCAATTCCATATTTATCGGACGACAGGAAGAACTTATTGAGATGCACAAGATGTTGTTTGATGAAACAAGAAGGTCTCAGGGTTCGTCCGCCGTTTTGATTCAAAGTATGCCTGGTGGTGGTAAGACTCATCTCGCTCGACAATACGCATTTGAACACAAAGACCAATTTCCCGGTGGTGTATTTTGGATTCGAGCGAAAAGCGAACAGGAACTCACTGCGGGATTTTGGCAAATTGCACGAAAAGCTGCGTTGAAACCTTCGATGGTTAATGAAGATCCAAAAGTTCTCGACAACCCCGATCAATTTATTAAGTTGGTCAAGAAATGGCTGAATCATAGAAGTCACTGGCTATTGATATTGGATGGTATTCACTTTGACGATAGCCTTCGAAGATTTATTCCTGACAGTATCAACACTAGTATCATCTACACATCAACGGAGAAGTCTGTCAGTGGCGATCATCATTTCATGAATCCACAGATCTTAAAGTTACCTGCACTTTCTGCCAGAGAAGCACAACATCTTTTATTGCGAGAACTTGACAAGAAGGATCCGTTCCTTCAAGATGACCTTAGACACTCGATGGAATTGGTTCAAGCGATGCAATTTTTACCTGTTGTCATTCATGTCGTTGCTCAACGGTTAAAGGCTACGGACGAACCACTCGCCAGATATGCTAGATCATATGCATCTGGACCGAAAGGGTTGAGGGAGCTTCAGGCTTTTACATCTGTGGTCGAGCAATTGGAGAAGCTTGGAGCGTACGAGACACTTAACCTGATACACATCTTATGCTTCTTCAGTCAGCATGTTCCAGTTGAGATGATTGCACTAGGTAAATATTTACATAACCCCGTTTCCCTTAAATGTATATTAACGTCAGTATCAGGTCTGGATGCACTCGATGTTCCCATCCGAGCCAGCGAGTCAATCACAGGTAGATCCTTGAACAATACTTTTAAAGTATTGAACAAGTTCGCTTTGATAGATCGAAATGAACATGAAGCTTCGCTCAACTCATCTCAAATATCACAAGGATCAAAAGGTAGCAGGGATTTGTTGTCGGACAACATCGACGTTATCAGGCTGCATAGTGTCGTCCAAGGATTTTTCGTGGATACCTTGCATGCCAAAGGAAAACTGCCGATGTGGCTTGATCGAGCCATCGGGGTATTTTGTCATTCATTTGATGAAGCCAATGATCGTATCACACAAAAGACACGCACTGGTCTTGTCGAGGATTATCGACTTTATGAGATTCACGGCATCAAACTTCAGCAATATCTCGAAAGGCACAAGAAGGAGTATATCAAACGACATAAGAAAGAGATGCTGGACCCTGAATCTACACACAATATGCTAGAAGATGTACTGAATGTCATTCGAAGCGAAATTCAACGACGGACTCCAGAGTCTTCTCATGTGATTGCTGGAGGTCGACCGGAAGCATTCCAGATTTCGATCTTTGATCGGACTAGCAGCTCCTCTGATACCGGCGTAGACCCAGAAACACCTGCGGATAAGTTTACTGAGGGTACGCCATGGGTTCTTGGGCCCCACATTGAATCTCCTCGCAGTCTTGTTCACAATCCGGAGTTTCTTCAACAAGTAGAGATCATTAAAAAGATTCAGTTCACACCTCAACTTCCCAAGGAAGATACTGGATATGATAGTGATCGAGAAGGTTCCAGCATTACACTTCAACCATTAAAGTCTATGATTCCTCAAGCTACCTCACCTCAAAGTCCGGGAGGCCCATGGGAAGTGGTCAAACCTCGACGTACAAGAGTCACGGCACCAAAGCTTGATCTTCATCGAACCATTCGAGCTCAGGAATCAAGGAGATATCGCAACCGTGCAGATTCTGTTCGTTCGATGACTCCGGTTTTTACAGATCCACTTGTGACTAGTGTCACAGCACATGGAGAATTGCAACAGCCTGATGATCGACCACAATCTCGTGGTAGATTATCCGGTCAATCTAGTGCTAGGGTAGCACTTGCTCACATCAGTAAAACTAGCCCACCACCAATCCGAGGAGGTGGTCCCATTCAAGATCGAAGAAAGCCTGAACATAAATTGACCGAGATCAATCTCATCACCAGGGCTCCTACGTACGCATCGGCTGTTGCTGGTCCAACGAAAGATACAGCTTCAAGACATGGTACTGAAGAGAACTTTAGTGATACCACTTCAAACCTTGGATACCCCGAGCCAAAATCCGCGATTGCTGCTCTGCAACGCATTCCTCATGATAGAGAACCCCCATCGCCACAACCACGCACACCTTATACACCCATGCCACCATATCCTCGTACACCAGATTTGTATTACCAACAACCGTATCCTGCATCTGATAGCAACCTGTACAACATTCATCACATGAATACCAGTCATGGTAACTTTAAGCCAATACCTGATCCTTTTGACAACTTCTATCCCATCATGACAGGTCCAATTCCCATAACACGATCTTCTATACCCTACACATCGATGTCACCAGCACTCAAGCGGGATCTTCCTCACGATTATCCAGGTTGGGATTCTCAATCCTATCCAAGCTCATTGAATGGCTCGCTACATATTCCAACCTCGCATCAAATTCATCATCAGAATCCCAACCAGCTAAATCCACCTACTCACTTTCAATCCATCTCCTCACCCAATCTTCTTCCATCCCAACCTCAAGAATATCGTCCCAACCCCTCAACATATTATCCCGGTCACCCCGAATTCTCCCACTCAGACACTATCAGTATAACCACAGCACGTACCTCACCACGAGAATCCGGCTATACCACACAACCGCTATCCCGCGATCCATCCGGACAATCAACTCGCTCTACTCACTCTCTTCACACAGAACCTATTCCTCAACTCCCTACTTTCTCCCCTCGAATCGGGGTTTTGTCTCCGCAAAGAAGTTATCAAGCGTACTCTTCTCATCAATCAATTCATAGTCCTCAGGACCGTGAACGAGGAATGTTTAGGAAGAGTCCACGGTTGGCTTTTGCGAGGGCGGCGGTGGGTGTTAGTGGTGAGGCGAGTCGATTGTTGTTTGAAGATGAAGAGCGAGAGAGGGAAAGGGAAAGGGAAAGGGAGAGGGAGAGGCAGAGACAGGGTCAGGGTCAATATTTTTCTGAGCAGGCGAGGGTACCTAGGACTTTTAATCCTCAAGCTCCGGATTTTAGTCCGAGGATGGAGGTTTCGATGCCGAAGATGTATTATCAGGGTGGGCAGAGGGAGAGGGAGAGGGAGAGGGGGATGGGGATGGGGATGACGAGGGATGTGAGTTTTATTTATCCGAGTCCGGATTTGGGGGAGGGGAGTGGGAATGGTAATGGGGGACAAGAACTAGAAGCTCCGCAAATGCAAAAGGGTGGTAGTAGTGGAAGTGGGGGGTTGGTTGTAGGTGGAGGGAGAGTGGTGGAGTTTGGGGATTTGGGGAGATTTGAAGGGGGAGGTGGAGGTGGGGAGAGGAAGGAGAGGAGGGAGATGGAGATGAAGATGAAGAGGGGAAATACCGGTAGTGGGCTGATTGAATTTGGAGAGACGGGGTTGGGGATTCAGGCGGGTAGACAGGGTGGGGGGTTTGAAAGGTTGGGGATGGTGGGGATGATGGGGATGGATATGGGGGAGAGGAGACCTGGTGCGGTGACTTGGAGGGGGGATGGTAGGGGTTGTGGTTGGTATGGTGAGGCGGGGGGGAGGAGTAGGAGTCGGTAGGGTGGTTAGATGGACGGTCTTTTGTATGATTGATTGTTTGCTTGTTTCTATATTACTGTAATATGTTCGGATCAGGATTGGGGGTTATATGATTATATCATAGCATAGGGAGTTTGGGTTTGGGTTTGGGCTGGGGATAAATGAACAAATGTATATTGATACAAATGTATATGGATACATGGATACAGAGATAGATACATATGTATAGATATACCAGGCAGTCTTACTTAAGGGTCTGGATGCATCACGCAAAGGAATGGAATGGGATGGAACGAAGTGAGGAAATGGAAGGAGAGTGAATGGAAGGAGAGGGAATGGAGGAGAGGGGAAGGAAGGAGAGGGAAGGGAAGGGAAGGGAAGGGAAGGGAAGGGAAGGGAAGGGAAGGGAAGGGAAGGGAAGGGAAGGGAAGGGAAGGGAAGGGAATGGGATGAATGAAATGAAGATTTATATCATAGCATATCATAACATATCAAATGAGATGAGATAAGATAAAAATAGATTACAGCATATTCGTAGTATATAATTAGAGAAGAATGTTTTTGACATGATGTGATGTGATGTGATGTGATGTAATCACATTTCATTGACAAGATACAAGATGCAAGATGCAAGATGCGGGAAAGAAGTTCGATTCCGACCTGGAATGCGATTTCTGGATACTTATCAAAATCAAAATATTATTTGATTATTTGAACGCAAACAATATATAGATAGATAGCAAAGTATAATGTTTTATTGCTTTATTTCTATAAAAGCTTTTATTTTATTTATATATATTAGGATCTTGGTTGGAAGATAATGAATGTAATTCTGTTATAGTAATACGCGTACAACTTTTGGGTATAAAAGATTGTCAAAAATGATATGGAAACGTGGTTGATCTATTGATATGATAGACAAAAGTAAAATAGGTATTACATTTGTTGGAATATCATTAAGATTATAATAGATATAATAATAGTAATATTGTATATATATATCCTTAGAGGTATTTTAGTGGGATTGGATATATATATAAGTGTATGAGATATGTGTATATAGACAATATCATATAAACTGTATTATATAACCTTGTGTGAACCTAGACTACATTTCCAATATTCCCCCGTATTAAATAGAATAATTAATCACAAAATACTATCATACTGTATACCTGAGCTCTATTCTTAATTAAATTCTAGGATCTTGTTAATTCTTGCAATGATAGATAACACTATAATATCTAATTTTCTGTAAAATTCGATTATCCCATGATAAGTATATTATAATATTAAGAATACTCTAATTTCTTTAAGATTTCCTATTTCCTCAGTTAAAGGTACTCTTTTAATATTCTATTCTAAAAGAAATTT